TAGGAACGTGCGGATTTTGGTGATGTTGCGGAGGTGGAGTCTGCACGAGTTTGTTAAAGATTGGACTTGGGGCTGGAAGGATAGGTTGGAGTCCAGAATGACACCCAGTACTCTGGCCTGCAGGGCGGGTTTGATGGTGGCGTTGTTGGATGTGATGGAGAAGTCTTAACAAATAACTATTGGTCCTAATTTTTCTGTTTTATTCAGGCAGGTCTTTCTTCAGAAATGAAGCCTCTTGGAGGCTTCAACATTTCAACTGTTTGTGTCTGAAAGATGTGACCCTATTGATAGAATTCCATTTCATTCGTGGTCTGGTTGCAAGTCAAATTTTTAGATTCTCCCTAGTTTTTAGTACAAGGTAGATAGAGAATGAATCTCCTTAGCAGGCACACAGGCAGCAATGAAAACACAGATCCTGACCCCTCACCGTTTTGTCCATAAAAAAAAAAAAAAAAAAAGTAATCCGATAAGGTATTGTAAAATAACACTTATAGTAATTATGCTTTTGAGCTTACATTAGAATGTGAAGAAGCGCTACTTCACTTTGTCATTTTTTTGAGCAAAAAAAAGAAATGTGCCGATTCGACTGATGGAAGAATCACTTCCAATGTGCTACTGTGTTCTCGCTTCTGTCATCAGAACATATTGATCAGTGTTGCCAGCTATAGTCAGCGGCAATAATTGTTTGGAAAAACCCCATCTGGGTGGTTGTGCCGAAGTCTATTGATAGATCAACTTCTATACCAGTGTTTCTCAACCTTTTTTCAGTCAAGGCACCCTTTAAAATTATGGACAATCTCAAGGTACCTTGTTAACATTCTACACAATCTCAAGGCACCACATTCTAAAATGTAAAAAACTATTCTAATAGTTTTACATAATGCAGCAACATCCACACATAGGACAACCAACGTTAGAGGTGATTTATTCTTCTAAAGCAAATATTTCTTTGCTAACTGGTACTAAGTATACCAGTGTCTCTCCTTTAGTTTCTCTCACTCAGCTAATGTGACCCTACTACTGAGGGGGAGGGGAGGAGCAAACAAGGATGCTGTGCAGGCGCCCAATGTCCTCATCAGCTATTCATGTAATTGTTTTTTAGGATACCGGCAGGTTGTAAAAGTGCGCAATGAAAACCTATGACTTTGTGTAACTAAAAGGCGGTCTTGATCCACCTAATGGCTTGTATCCAGTTTTTGGGTAGTTTTTAAGCATATTGCGAAGGCACCCCTGAAAAGGCCTGAGGACACCCTGATTGGGAAAGGCTGTTCTATACAACCAGGCTGCTGCACATACTTCGCAATTCATTTGGTTGCTGCTGATCCTCCCGAATTTCAATCCACGTATGGCTGACTATAGTGAATGCAGGACCCTGCATTCACTATGTCTGGTCTCCTCGGACCGTGCATTCACTATCTGGTCTCCTCGGACCCTGCATTTACTGTATCCGGTCTCCCCGGACCCTGCATCCCACTATCACCATATCTGGTCTCCCCGGACCCTGCATTTCACTATATCTGGCTTCACTAACATTACACAGAACATGGAAATTACATTATATTAGTAAATATAAACTGCTAAATACCTTTTCTCATCAGCAGTTATAGCAGTCTTGTGACTTCTATCAGTGTTCAGCAGAGCACTGGTTAAAGCATGTAGGAGGAGTTTTCTTTCTGATCTAGGAGGATGCAGGACACCTGACCCCTGTCTGGACAGTGCTTTTTGGCCCGGTGCTGATCACATGCACTCTCCCAAGAAAAAAACACCTCTCTAGCGATGCACACCAAATTGATCATGTGCAGAGTGTCTCCACACAATATGTCTTATTAGGAGATAAGAGGGGGGCACTGGAAGAAGGGGAGGATCAGAGAAGTCGGGATCAAACAGCGGTTTTACACAATGCAGGATTAACCCTTAGGTTCCACAGTGAGTATATCAAGCATGCTTTACTTCAGATACAGAGTGAATTTACTGTTGTGGGTTTAGTAACACTTTAACTCTCTAATCCAGTCTTTCCCAACCGTGGTGATGTCAGTGGGCATCATTCAGTAACTAATGCTGTAAACACCCTATGCTGCTAGCTGTACACATTCACCAGATATTTCTCCCCTGCTGCAGAGGATAAGAGAAATGTTTTAATTGGCTGCAGTGGGAATGAATGGGGGAGGGGGGTATTGAAAGGGGTGACGGGGGAGTGATGCAAGGCTCCCAATGGATCATATCCGCTTAATACAGAAGCCTTTTGCAGGAATGGTTTGCATATAGGGAAATTAAATTCACCATACGCAGGCCAATAAGAAAGAGACAGATCAATGGGAGCATTATCTGAAAACATCCAGCAGTGTAGGGTAATAACTTGAGTCTAGTAGATAATACCTGTCGGTTGACTGTAGGTAACATTTCCATTTTAGACTGGGGTACCTTGAGATTTTGCATACTTTTACAGGATGTCTTGGGTGGGAAAAATGTTGAGAGATGCTCTAGTCTTCTATGCTCTTTTGCACATAGTAATTCCACAGGGCACTGGTGACTGATCCTGTCGGTGGCACTGAACAATGGGTTCAGCATGTTTATGGCTAGCTTTGTTCCTGAGGGATAATGCTCTGACAATACAAATAGTTGGGACACTAAGCGGTGTCACTGGCAGTGTTGCCAAGTCTGGAAAATTCCTAACGCCACTGTGCAGCTTAGGCCATCACCGATCTTTATGCTCGCTGTAGTCCTGCACTGCTGGAACACCCATAAATATACATGATGTATGCAGAAGTCCCACTAGTTTATTGTAGTAAACAAAGACGCTGAAATAACACACTGGGAATCTTTGTTGAGGGATGATTTACAGCTCTTCACAGAGGCAATAAAGTTTACATTTAAAGTACATGGAAATCCTAACTGAATAACATTACTGTGGTAACACTGCATTTCAAGAAATGCCACTCTTTGAAAATAAAATATTTGCTTTCACCGGTTTTGCTTTTTTCTTTCCATACTGTTGCATCTCATAGCTGCTGATCGCCTGCAGCCTCTTTCCTGTCTACATCTAATCGTAGTGATGACTGCGTGTCAGGGTAGGTTTCCTGATGCTGCTAACAGCAGATCATGCCTACATTATGTGCATTTAAACAGACTCTTGCCTTCAGAAGTCTCTGTAATAGGGTGACAACACAGGAGCACAACTGGGAGACATGGACAGTGTGTTGTCACCCTATAACAAGAAGTGCTTAAATAAGGGCATTCATGGAAGTCTTACCAGGTATTATTTTAATTAAATCTGTAGATTTAGAAAAATTTTGAAAATTACTTTCGAAATCAGATTTAATATGTTAAAGGTTAATTAAATGTTATGTTAGTGCTTGAGCTTACATATCCTTTAAAGGGAAATAACAGTGAATAAAACAGTGACTGCCATTTCTGACGACCTGCTGATAATACCTGTTGGCTGGCTCTCACTGAGTAAGTACACTTACAGCCTAAATTTAGTCAAACGTTCAATCAAAAAAAAAAAATAATAATCAGCACAAGGAACATTAATTACAGTGAGTATGTTGTGTCTTTTGTTCTGCTTTAGTTGAAATCTATTATTCAATCCTCCTTCCTTCCAATCTCCTCTGTAATCTTCTGGTGCAGTAGGGGCTAATAGAGCCAAGGGAATCGAGTGCTGACTGTGCCTGCCCCCTCCTCCATTCATAGAAGATGAACTAAACTGAATAAAAAGCAAATTATGAATGGGAGAGGTGGCCCTCTCGGTCATAAACCTGTCTTCCCCTCATAGATTCCTTTTCATACATAGAATCTCTTGCTAGGTCCTTTGGCTCTATAAACCCCCAGTATACAGGAAGATTGCAGTGGCGGAGGTAGAGGTGGGTCAAAGAACCGAAGATTTTAACTAAACAAGTAACCAGCAGCCCAAGGGACACATCACATTGATTGTAAGTAATGTCCCTTGTGCTGAATGTTTTCAAATAAACTTAGGCTTTACAAAAAGTGCACCCCCCCCCCTTCACTAACTTAACTCGGCCCACCACCCCTCCACTGATGCATATTTACTTCAACAATTGTGGCCAATGTTTGTTTACATGTTGCACTGCAAGTTGTCAGTGTCTTGACCACACCTAGATATGTAGATGCTCAGGACAAGGCCCCTAGAAGTGTACAGGGAGCTACTCTGCAGGCGTGACCAGGACACTTAAGACTTGTACCATACATTAAATGCCTGGCTGTTGGATATAGATACGTATGCATCCAGGAGGGAAGGGAGGGGATGGATGCCAGCATGCACGCAGTGAAATTAGAAGAAAGTCAGAACTTTTGATTGTCTTGCTTGTTCAAGGTCAATGATTTAGAAAATATTGATGTCTTTTGGATCAAGTGGACTGCTAATCTTTTCAATAGCAGTCTTTATATGTTCTTGGTACCAGTTTCATTTAAGATGAATCTCTGATTAGGCAAAATACCCATGTGAGAAGCCTCAGATGGAGGCTGCCATTCTCTCTCCTGGCCTACCTACCAGGGAATTAAAGCTGAACTTATGTCGCTCCATTGCAAGGGCCAACTCTACCCCTGATCCAGCTTGGAAACCCAGAGTAGGACAGTAGAAGCTTCCATCTACAGTAAGGTTTCTGAAGCAGGCATATAAATTAAACCTGTGTTGGAAGACAATTGACAGGCAGATTAGCTGCTCACAATGTACCTTCTTTAACCACTTGACTACTAGGCACTTACATCCCCTTATTTACCAGGCCAATTTTCAGCGCTGCCGCACTTTCATTGACAATTGCGCGGTCATGCAACATTGTACCCATATGAAATTTTGATCATTTTTTTCTCACAAATAGAGCTTTCTTTTGGTGGTATTTAATCGCCACTGGGCGCTTTACTTTTTGCGCTATAAATAAAAAAAGTGCAAAAAATTAAAAAAAAAAAAAAGTTTCTTTGTTTCTATTATAACATTTTTCAAACAGGTAAGTTTTCTCCTTCACTGATGTGCGTTGATGAGGCGGCACTGATGGGCACTGATAGGCAGTACTAATGAGGTGGCACGGATAGGCGGCACTGATAGGCAGCACTAATGAGGTGTCACGGATAGGCGGCACTAATATGCGGCACTGATGATGGGTACTGATAGATGGCACTGACTGGCATCACTGCTGGGCGCTGACTGGCGGCACTGACTGGCACAACCGCTGGGCACTGACTGGCAGCACTGCTGGGCTGCACAGGTGGGTGGCACTGCTGGGCACAGGTAGGTGGCACTTCTGGGCACAGGTGGGTGCACTGCTGGGCACAGGTGGGTGCACTGCTGGGCACAGGTGGGCGGGGCTAGTGGGCGCACTGCAAGGGCACAGGTGCGCGGAACTTGTGGGTGGCACTGCTGGGCACCGATCATCAGGGCACTGATCATTAGTGCCCTGATGATCGGTGCCGATCCTCACTCTGACAACTGCCGGTTCTCGGCAGTACTTTCCTCACGATCTGACAGCGTGAGGAAAGTGCAGCCGAGAACCGGCAATTGCATTTCCCTGTGATCAGTGTGTCATTGGACACCGCTGATCACGTGGTAAAAGGCCGGTATGATTGGCCTTTTACCACATCACGTGATCAGCTGTGTCCGTAGGACACAGCGATCACGGAGATTGCTGGGTGCGCGCCGAGAGCGCGTTCTGGGAGGACGTCATATGACGTCTACCCAGAACTGGCCTTTCGCAGTGCAGCCGTCATTCGGCTATCTGCGGTCGGCAACTAGTTAAAGGAAACCTATGGTGGAACCTACCATAGATGACCTTTTGAAAATTTTAGTCGCCCGACTATCTGTGGAATCATTGTTCTGGATCAAATGTGCAGCAAGTGTAAAGTCAGAACTGCTGATCTCTATACTTGTTTTGGGCCCGTGCCCAAGAAAACTTGGACACCTTTGAATTGGCATGAGAGACTAGCATTTTCAAAACGAGCGGGTGACCATGACAGCCTACATTTTTTTTTTTTCTTTTTGAAGGTTTCCTGTATAGCTAATCTGTGCTATGCCCACATAGGGTAAAGTAACAGGTTCACATTCTTGCAGACCTCCCCAGACACTTTCCTTCTCATTCCTCTCCTTCCATTCCAGTGAGTGTCCGGTAGAAAATGCAACTCCCTTTGAAAGCTACAAGTCACTGGAATCACAGGTTACACAAGGCTATGGACTCTCTCCCCTAGTGTTATCACATGTTCCTCCATACCCAGAAATATAGAGTAATTCCTTCCGCTACCAGCCCTGAACTGAGTGGAGTGGCAGTGAAAGGTATGTTCTACTGTGTATAGAGGGATTAAACCTGTTGCTTTGCCCTTGATAGACAAAGCAAAAATGTACAGCACTTGGTATACATTAAACCATTCAAGAGAAAAAAAAAAAACAGGACAGAACACTTTGGATATCACATGCGTTTGAAATCATGAACCTGCTCCTGCCTGTGTATCAAATTTTGACATGTGACTGTGTCCATGCAGCCAATGTATCTGCATCTACTTCTGTGGGCTGCCTGTATGCATCTCCGAGGTGGATGCACACACAGCAAAAAGCAGCTCTGCGCGGAGGATGGGACTGAATGAGCCTTAAATGGAAAATGTCAAGTGTAGATAAAAGCAAAGGATTTTTTAAAAAGTGACTTTGTACAGGCCTAAAAGCAACTGATGTAACAGGCTATACTGTAGATACCTTGAAGGTGTGTGTGGTGAAAGCATGCCTCTTTTTTTTATTACAGGTACTTTTATAGTGCAAACAATCTATGCAGAATGTGTGTATATATATGTGTGTGTGTGTGTATAATATATATATATAATGTGTGTGTATATATACAGTGGGGATCGAAAGTTTGGGCACCCCAGCTAAATATTTGTAATAATGTGCATAAAGAAGCCAAGGAAAGATGGAAAAATCTCCAAAAGGCATCAAATTACAGATTAGACATTCTTATAATATGTCAACAAAAGTTAGATTTTATTTCCATCATTTACACTTTCAAAATAACAGAAAACAAAAAAATGGCGTCTGCAAAAGTTTGGGTACCCTGCAGAATTTATAGCATGCACTGCCCCCTTTGCAAAGCTGAGACCTGCCAGTGTCATGGATTGTTCTCAATCATCGTCTGGGAAGACCAGGTGATGTCAATCTCAAAGGTTTTAAATGCCCAGACTCATCTGACCTTGCCCCAACAATCAGCACCATGGGTTCTTCTAAGCAGTTGTCTAGAAAACTGAAACTGAAAATAGTCGACGCTCACAAAGCTGGAGAAGGCTATAAGAAGATAACAAAGTGTTTTCAGATGTCAATATCCTCTGTTCGGAATGTAATTAAGAAATGGCAGTCATCAGGAACAGTGGAAGTTAAAGCAAGATCTGGAAGACCAAGAAAAATATCAGACAGAACAGCTCGCAGGATTGTGAGAAAAACAATTCAAAACCCACGTTTGACTGCACGATCCCTCCAGAAAGATCTGGCACACACTGGAGTTGGGGTACACTATTCCACTATAAAGAGATACTTGTACAAATATGGTCTTCATGGAAGAGTCATCAGAAGAAAACCTCTTCTACGTCCTCACCACAAAAATCATCGTTTGAACTTTGCAAATGAACATATAGACAAGCCTGATGCATTTTGGAAACAAGTTCTGTGGACCGATGAGGTTAAAATTGAACTTTTTGGCCGGAATGAGCAAAGGTACGTTTGGAGAAGAAGGGGCACAGAATTTAATGAAAAGAACCTCTGTCCAACTGTTAAGCATGGGGTTGGATCAATCATGCTTTGGGGTTGTGTTGCAGCCAGTGGCACAGGGAACATCTCACGAGTAGAAGGAAAAATGGATTCAATAAAATTTCAGCAAATTTTGGATGGTAACTTGATGCCATCTGTGAAAAAGCTGAAGTTAAAGAGAGGATGGCTTCTACAAATGGATAATGATCCTAAACACACCTCGAAATCCACGGGGGATTACAGCAAGAGGTGTAAACTGAAGGTTTTGCCATGGCCTTCACAATCTCCTGACCTCAACATAATTGAAAATCTATGGATAGACCTTAAAAGAGCAGTGCGTGACAGACATCCTAGAAATCTCAAAGAACTGGAAGACTTTTCTAAGGAAGAATGGGCAAAGATACCTCAAACAAGAATTGAAAGACTCTTGGCTGGCTACAAAAAGCGTTTACAAGCTGTGATACTTGCCAAAGGGAGCAGTACAAGATATTAACTCTGCAGGGTGCCCAAACTTTTGCAGACGCCATTTTTTGTTTTCTGTTATTTTGAAAGTTTAAATGATGAAAATAAAATCTAACTTTTGTTGACATATTATAAGAATGTCTAATCTGTAATTTGATGCCTTTTGGAGATTTTTCCATCTTTCCTTGGCTTCTTTATGCACATTAATACAAATTTTTAGCTGGGGTGCCCAAACTTTCGATCCCCACTGTGTGTATATATATATATATATATATAATGTGTGTGTGTGTGTGTGTATATATATATATATATATATATATATGTACATATATATTATGTTCACATCAGTCCTTGCACTCAAAGAGCTTATAATCTAAGGTCCATAGCTCACATTCATACATGCACATACTAGGGCCGATTAGCATGTCTTTGGAGTGTGGGAGGAAGCCAGCGTATCCGGAGGAACAGACGCAAGGAGAACATTCAAACTCCAGGATTCTAGTGCTGTCAGTGCTAACCATTTAGTCACTGTGCTGCCCATCTATCTCTTCACAATCTGCTTCACGAAAACCAAAGGGGTGCTAGGTGTAGGGGTTTTATGGAATCTACTGCCCAGCCTCTGGATTACATTAAAAGTGGCTTTAAATCAGTGCTGCTTTTGGAGCCTATTAAAGAATTTGGTCAATTTTATTTTGAAAAGGATGTGGATCAGAGCCGAACCCAGGACATTAGACCAGGTACTTGCATTGAAATGTGGAGTTTATACATAATGTATCTGGAGGATTCTAATGCTAGCGGTTTTTAAGCTTCTAGAAGCTGTTATGAGCATTTTTGTTCAGCTGCTAGAAGCTAACAGTGTCCATTTTTCAAGCTTCAGCGTTTAGGAACAGAAAAAAAGAATTGTCTTTGTAGAGTTTGTGGGCGTGTTTTCCCTACTAAACCGCTCCTAACAGCTTCATTTTAGATTTTTTGTTAATCTTCATGTACTGTAAAAACGCTAATAGAATGCTAACACTTCTGAATGCTTCTAAAATGCTATTAACAGCTTTTTTTCATCCAGTGTTTTTGTCTAGTGGTTTTGAGCTTATAAGTCATGGAGCCTAAAAATGTTTTTTTTTTTTTTTTTTGTTCATGACTTGAAAAAAGACTGCAGCTGTTTGTAAAGTCTCAGTACTATTACACCTAAGTGCACCATTTGCTCTATATAATTGTCCCCCCACAGTAGCCTGGATCCAGAAAAATGTAGCAGCCTGTTATGAAGCCCAGTTAATAGGCTGGGAAGCATGGAGTAGGATCTCTGTCATCTTAGCCCTCAAAAAAATTCTTTCTGGCTCTCCAGTTCATGATTTGTCTGCCTGGGAGATATTTTTATACAGCTTCTCTCTCCTTGGGAGGGGTAGAGCCAGGGAAAACGAAAGACACCACAGTTGCGGTGTTTGGAGACGAGGGGCCTTTTAAATTTGGATCTTACTGCATGTTTCTGTTAATGGGTAGAGGGGTGGGCTTTTAGTAAGGCTCTCTTTCTGACCTTGAGTCACTAGTGCTGGCATTCCTTTGAAGAGACAAGCCGCAGATTGGCAGGAACAGCTGTGCCCAGCAGTGGGGGGCTGGGACCCAATCTGGATGAATCTCGCAACCTAGGCGTGTGCATTTCCACTTCCAAGCTGGGTTCCTCTATGTTTTCCCACCAGGGTTCTTATGCGTGTTCAGTTGCAATTCAGAATCGCAAGTTCCTTTTGGGAAGACTCTGTCCTCTGGGTGGATTTGTCACCTGTTCATCTAGTCTGTCAACTCTGGAAACTCCAGTTCCTTGGAAACTATGGCCTTTGGTTTGCTGTAATCTCTTTCTTGTTGTTCCCTCTGGATTCTAGTGGTTGTGTCTACACTGGACTTTATGAAACTTCTGGGCGTGGGAATGGGTCAGGACCAAACCAAACAGCAGATCCAGAAAGGACTTCAGCTTTACCAGTCTAATCAGACAGAGAAAGCTTTGCAGGTTTGGACTAAAGTGTTGGAGAAGACCACAGATGCAGCAGGCAAATTTCGAGTTCTTGGTTGCCTTATTACTGCGCACTCAGAGATGGGAAGGTATAAAGACATGCTAAAGGTAATCACTGACTTATTTTCTCATTATGGATGCAAATCGCCTTTCTTAATCTAAGTATTTTAAGCAAGACTACCTTTGTTGCCATATAGTAACCAGATTCATTCTTGCACTGTAAGGTGGCAACTAAAGAAACTCTGGATCTTGTTTTTTGCTGTAGGAAAATATAGGTTGTCACTTAAATAAGGCCTAGTACTGAGCCTGTTCATTGAGCATGTTCATTGATGTACAGTAACCCATAGCAACCCATAATCTCTCACCTTCCAGCAATACTGAATAGCTAGGAAAATAAAAGACAGTTGATTACCTAGCAATTTGCTCCATATATGATTAAAGGGTCAGTTCACCCATAAGTGATATTTCGGCTGCAGGTGGAACCTCCTTCTAACTTTAGGGGACTTCAGTGCTGAAATATTTCCACCATAAATTCTGCCAACGTCAGTCTCATTCTTCCTGCTACAAAATTGGTTTGTTTTACAGAAAATCAGCGCCTTCCTGTTGTATTTCTCTATTAAAACCAGAGGAAAAATCCAGCCAGGGATATGAGACTCCTCTCATAGCTGCTGCAGAAGGTGTGCAGAGTAGGGATTTTAAGTACAGAGATCCCCCTGCAGGTCCTTAAATCCTCCAAAAGCTGTGGTTTTTTCTGCACCCTTTGTAGCTCGGCCAGTAAAAATCTAATGCAGGGTTGCCCATTACTGCAGGAGTAACACCTATGGGACGGTAGTGTGCACTAGCACCTGGCACTAATCTCAGAGGAGGTCAGTATGGACCTGACGGGCAGGTGCCATAGTTCACTGCATTGAGGGGCCGAGGAAAGGGGGTTGGTGGATTTTCAAAATTTGTGAGCTTGTTCTTTAAGGGCTCGTTCACACTAGAGTTGGTCTCTGAAAAGTGATCCAGCTTTGCATTTGATAGGCTGTAAGGTGGCGTTGTATTACCTCCTCACCACCTACTTTAACCTCGCACTAGCATGCAATGCACTCAGTTGCAGGGCACTTACAGAGCAGCCCCATTTACTTAAATGACAAGGGGCATCATAATTCCTGCCATGAAGCAACTGCTAGTGTGAACTCTTCAGCACCTAACAATAAATATACTCACCAGCCACTTTATTAGGTACTCCTGTTCAATTGCTTGGTAACACAAATTGCTAATCAGCCAATCACATGGAAGCAACTTAATGCATTTAGGTATGTAGACGTGGTAAAGATGACTTACTGACGTTCAAACCGAGCATCAGAGTGGGGAAGATAGGTAAATTAAGTGGCTTTGAACGTGGCATGGTTGTTGGTGCCAGATGAGCTGGTCTGAGCATTTAAAAAACTGCTGATCTGCTGGGATTTTCACACACAACCATCTCTACGGTTTACAGAGAATGGTCCAAAAAAGAGAAAATATCCAGTGAGCTGCAGTTGTATGGATGAAAATACCTTGTTGATGTCAGAGGAGAATGGGCAGATTGGTTTGAGATGATAGAAAGGCAACAGTAACTCATGTCAATATGGACCAAAATCTATGAAGAATGATTCCAACACCTTGTTGAATCTATGCCATGAAGAACCCGGTACTAGCAAGGCAGACCTAATAAAGTGGCCAGGGAGCAAAAGGACTCCTAAAGTTTGTCTGGGGAAAAAAAACAAACGTTTATCTCTGCAATACACACACATTCCCATTTTTCTCCCTTAAACTATGGAAAATACAGGTTAGTATGTACTGTAGTCCTGTCTTCCTGTTTGAATTGACAACACAATGCCTTTGGTGCACTGAAATCCTAATCAGAGCTGTCAGGCCTGCCTAAACTCTGCTTTTCTATACCCCTCTGCTTCCCTCTCTACATCCATACATTGATTTCTTTTCTAGCAAAACAATGCTGCTGCCTAAACTCCCAAGAGCCTGTCCATACACTCTGTGTGGAGAAAGGGCTGTTGGGAGATGTAGTTTTGCATGGCTTGCCTTCGTCAATAGGAACTAAAGTCCTAGCAGCTCCCCCTGCAAGTATTTTACACATTGCTGCTGATTGCACAGTGAGTATCAAAATTGGTTCTCTCTACAGGAACAAGGTAAAAAAAAATAATATAGACAATAATTACCCTGAATCTTGTGAGCTGCTGTGCATACACCAATACATAAATAAATATTATTTTTTATTATTATTATTATTATTATACAGGACTTATATAGCGCCGACAGTTTGCTCAGCGCTTTACATTATGGAGGGAGACAGTACAGTAAAAATACAGTTCAATACAAAAGGGATTGGAGGGCCCTGCTCCTTGGAGTTTACAATCTAGGAGGGAGGGGATAGTGGTACAAGAGGAAATTAGCTGTGGGGGATGGAGTGGTAGGTAGAGTAGGGGATTCCAGTATTAGATGGGGTCAGTGTAGGCTTCCCTGAAGAGATGGGTTTTCAGAGTGCGCCTAAAAGAGAGCAGAGTAGGTGATAGATTGGGGTAGGGAGTTCCAGAGGATGGGCGAAGCCCTTGAGAAATCCTGGAGAGGAGCAAAGGAGGAGACAAGGGAGCTAGAGCGTAGGAGGTCCTGCGAGGAGCAGAGAGTACGGTTTGGGTGGTATTTAGAGACCAGGTCGGTGATGTATTTAGGGGCAGTGTTATGAACGGCTTTATACGTCAGTGTTAGTGTTTTGAATTTCATCCGCTGGGCAATTGGAAGCCAGTGGAGGGATTGGCAGAGAGGGGTGGCAGATACAGAACGGTTAGTGAGGTGAATGAGTCTGGCAGCAGCATTCATGATGGACTGGAGTGGGGATAGCCTGCGATGAGGTAGGCCAGTGAGGAGGGAGTTACAGTAGTCGAGGCGTGATATAATAAGGGAATGAATGAGTTGCTTAGTGGTTTCTGAGGTTAGGAACGGTTGTATCTTGGAGATGTTGCAGAGGTGAAGTCTACAAGAGTTTGTCAGTGATTGGACCTGGGGATGAAAGGACAGATGGGAGTCTAGGATTACACCTAGTACCCTGGCGTGAGGGGTGGGACTGATGATAGTGTTGTTGATCTTGATGGAGAAGTCGGGGGGGGGGGGGTTTCACGGGCTGGGGGGAATACTAGGAGCTCAGTTTTGGAAAGGTTGAGTTTGAGAAAGTGGAGTGACAACCAGTCTGATATGTCACTTAGTAGGCTGGTGGTGTGATTGGAGACTGAGGGGGTGAGGTGAGGGGTAGAGAGATAGATTTGTGTGTCGTCGACATAGAGATGGTAGTTGAAGCCGAGGGAGTTTATCAATTGTGAATTGCCCATATATTGTGAATCGCCCACACTAATCACACTCCCATATAAATGTGTTAACTCTCTTAAAAAGTGCCGCTCTTCACCAACCTATGTGCAAATACATGTACACCCTATTTCTTATGTTTGTAAACACAAATTCCTGAAAATATACAAAATGAACTGAATTTACATCAAACAAATATACATATATATGCATCAATTATGTGTGAAAAGTTCCATCATCATTCCAACATCCACTTGAAAATTTCTTCCCATACAGAGTATACTTCAATGTGTTATCAGTTGTTCCCAAAAAATGATATCCAAAAATGGCGACAGATCCCCTCCACCAGATATGTTCTCACCTGGTTTCTATGATCAAACTGCTAGGTGAAGTCACACAGTTTATCGCTTGTGTCCCTCTATGAGGACTGGTGCTTATTTCTGGTTTGGATGAGTTTGTACTTCTGAATAATACCACCTTTCCATGTTCTCCTTAATGATCCTCCTCAGCCATACATACATAGGGGAAAAGATCACCAAAACATAGTGCTTGTCCTTTTAAAACAAATTCCACTTTTCCACTCACGTTTTCAAGGTGTCTAAGTACATCACACTAGGTCTCATTCGGCAAAATACAGTTTATTATCCACTAGAGTAGTGGATATAAGGTTGAACATCTAGGCAAAGATCCAGACAGGCATTTTCTTAACATTAAGGCACACCAGGCACAGTAGATGTATAAAATCTAGATGTATCCGCAGTATTGGTATCCACTATATGTGTCGGGATGCATATATACACTAGAAATTCTGAAGGGCCCTCTGCACACTGGTATATACCCTTTCAAGCAGACTCTGCAATAAATAGGGATATTTAGTTCACACATATTGCAATACATGTTTAAGCTGGCCAACTGCGTCAAAGTAATCCCTCTATGGCCAGTCCTACTCTGCTCTGCCTACGCAAATGCTGCTGTGGACACAATGCCAACATAGGGGAAAAGACAAAGTGGGGGAGAGCTACCAGGTTCAGGTCTGGCTACTGACCCAAGAATACAACAAACAAGATATACCTGTGCTCAAATCCCATGTATAGGATGCATATATAAACACATTTTTTAAGTACCGATCACGATATGTGTATACATCTCTGAGAGAGAGGATTGGACAAAAGCGCTGGGTAATAGTAATGGGCCATGGAAAAACTGTGGCGATTCCTTTATAGAGAGCCACAAGAAAATGGTGCCTGCCGATACATAGGAAAGAGTGCTGCGCCGTCCAGTCGTTTCCCCTGATGAAGTCACGGGACTCTGACATAGCGCGTAGGGAAGGGGCTTTGACAACTCGGCGCTTGAGATTGTTTGGATGCGGTAAAACGACAGCTGCATACTGTATCGATGATTGTGTATATCTCATTGCCAAATGAGATTCTAGTGTGGCGTGCTTAGACACCTTATAAAGAGTGGAAAAGTGGAATTTGTTTTAAGCTAATAAATGTTTTAAAAGGATAAGCACTATGTTTTGGTGATCTTTTCCCCTATGTATGTATGGCTGAGGAAGATCTTTAACCCCTTTGCGCTGGTATCTCCCAGCCCTTTAAGAGGTTACAGAAGCTGGGAGGTGGGGTGGGTTTTTAGGGTCATGTGACCGCCGTGATTCGCTGTGACGGCGGTCACATGATCAGAAACGGTCCCATTCGCAAGCAGAGATCGGGACCTTTCCGGGAGTCACGGACATATGTGCTGGGAGCGCGCAGGGCATGTACTCTAAGTAC